AAGAGCGGCTGTTGGGTTTGAACCTTCAGCCTTCTGGTTGGCAGTCAGATGCCTTAGGCACTATGCCACCAGAGCTCCTATATATATATGTATGAAGATATATATACATATATATGCACATATATATGCCACATATATATGTATGTATATATATGTATCTCTCTCTCTATCTATATATATATATATACCTCCATATACATGTAGTTCAGGTGGCATAGTGGGTAAGGCTTTTGGCTGTTAACCAGAAGATCTCTGGTTCAAACCTACCAGTTGCTCTTCAGGAGGAAAATGAGACAATCTACTTCCATACATATTTACAGCCTTGGAAACCCCTAGGGGTCACTATGAGCTGGAATCGACCTGATGGCAGTGAGTTTGTTTCATGCAAATCAGTGTTTTGTAAAAGTGGAGATGATGACATCACCTCACTTCTCACTTGTACTGTGAATGTCCTGCCAGTTCTCTTCTGAGGTCACCTGCCATGACTGCTTCCCCCTGCCTCATGTTGCCTCAGGAAAGTTCCATCCCCACTGCTTCCTGAAGAAGAGGGCTACCCAATCTTCCAGAATCAAGGTGACCAAGTGTCACCTCGTTTCCCATTTCCATGGTGCCCCCTCCTGACCTCATTGTATTTTTATGATGACTGGCCCCTGCTCATCCCCTCAAGACACCAGAACACCTGTATTAGTAGGGGGTAAGGAGGCCACTGTTCATGGGCAGGGAAGGCCTGGGTACTGCAAGGGGTACTTACCACCTGCTGGGTCCTCCAGCTGGTCTCTCATCTGAGAATCCCCTGGCTCTTGGTGAGTGGCCCTGCCCCCCTCAACAATCCAGAGCCTCTCTGAGGCAATAATGGCCAGAAACAGCCTCTACCTTTGACCTTAAACTGCAGTTGTCACTGGCCAATCACCTGCTGACCCCATCACCACCCAGGTGGTCTGCCTCACACTCACCTGTGCCCATGTGGGAGAGGAAGTTTAAGGGGTTTCCCAGGTACCACTCAGCTGACATGGGGTCCTGAAGGCTCTGGGCACTGGAGTACCCATCTCAGGGCTCCTTTGATCATGGCCTGGCCAGTAACTGATGCCCCTTGGGGCTGAGTGTTGGAGTCAGATCCCGGAATCCCTCTTCCTGAAGGTGGCTCACCTTCAAGACACTGGCTGTGGGCACCCAGGACTTTTGGGCATCCAAGACCCACCAGGCAGCATCCAGTTCCCACTGATTCCACTCCAGCCTCACTTTCACTCCCCTCAGCACCCTGCTGGCTCCAAGAGACTATGCCTCCTCTTCCCTCCTGGCAGTATAATACTAGGCAATAGGAGCTTCCTTTAAGGGACCCAATCAGGGACCTTACTCTCTACTGCAGACACAAAAATAGTCAGATAGTACATTTTTCACTGTTGTCATGAGTGTGAAAAGCCAGATAATGAGACTCAATAAATGAGGAGTAGGTGTAGAGTCATTTCCAACCTATGGTGACCCCATGTGTGTCAGAGTAGAACTGTGTTCTGTAGGTTTTTTTGATGACTGATTTTTTTTGAAAATAAACTTCCAGGATTTTCTTCTAAGGTGCCTCTGTGTGAAACTGAACCTCCAATCTTTTGGTCAGCAGCCAAGCATGTAAACTGTTTGCACCATCTAGGGACTTCATGTATATATATATATATATATATATATATATATATATATATATATATATATAACATACATACCATCTCTCTGTGTGTGTCTGGTACTCAATGTTAATAAATTGATATTAAACATAATTCTGATAGTTGTCTAAGTAGGAAGAGGGCTTTATCTCTTTTCCACTAAGTCTCTCATGAAGAGTAATTGAAATTATTTATTTAGCATTTATTTGGGTTTTAAAAAACGCTTAAATTCCATTTATCAACTGGTACCATAATAGCATTTCTTGTATTGCATATATGGTAGTCTTCAAGTATACTCTGAAGTGTGATTCTTTGGACCCTATTCAGAGAGAAATAATCTCTAATATCAGCTCCAACTTTGAGTCAAGAAATTGTATGTGGTGTCAGGTTTTCTATTTTTAGGATATGAGGGATGATTATAAGCTATCTCAGTGGATTGTTGTTATGTGCAGTGGAGTTGGACCCTGCTCATAGAGACCCTTCCTTGGGTGTCTGAGGTGGGTATTACTACAGAAGTAGATTGCTCCACCTTTCTTCTGAGGCGTGACTGGTGGGTTTGAACCTCCAGCCTTCTGGTTAGAAGTCCCTAAAATAGCCTGGCATATACCCTTTAGTGCCCAATCTTTCCTGCTTCCACTTGAGTCTTCATAGGGAAAGTTAACCCATAACAGATAGCTCTCAAAGAATCCTGATATTCACTAAAAAATAAAGACAGAAAAGGATAGAGGCTAGTCTCTTGCCACTATCTGAAATCCAGGGGGTGACTTTGATTCAGGAAATGCTTATGTTGCTAATTTTCTACATTTTATATCTCTACATGAAGGTATGTATACAGCAAATGAGAGTTGCATCTTTTCCAGATGAACGGCTCTGAAAGCAAGTCTTGCTTCTCTGTTTCCCTTTGCCCAGAAAACCAGTAAAATAAATTCTTAATTGTTATGGGGAAATGTTTAACATATCTGAGTGTATATGTCACTATTTTTTTGTTGTTGCTTATTATCAATTTTGTTTGTTTGTTTTTTTGTTGTTGATTAATATCAATGCTTATTACATTGTTTCTGCCTGCCTTTTCTTGGGCTCTAGACTTGTTTCCTGAAGAACAGAGGTACTGTTTTACATGCATTAAGTAGATAATTGACATTTTGTATCTCAGCTGTTCTTTTAATTCATACTTTCTCTTTTCCCTGACATGCACTAGATACATTAATACATGGATAGCAAAATAAATTGACCACAATTCAACAATAAATTTTAACTTACAAATGCTTCAAGAAAATAGACAAAATAAATTACAAACATGAAAAAGGATCGATAATATGAACATTATTGTAGTATTATAGTGCATAAAATTATACATTATACATAATTATACATTATACATAAAATTAAACACTATGATAGTACATAAAACTAAGAAATAAAAGAACAATTTCTTCAGAACTCTTTTTTTAACACCCTTTTAAACAGGGCAATTTCTCTTGTATGTTATGTGCAGTTTGTCCAAAAATATAACACACCAAATATACATGATTGCTTAATATCTCCAGTAAAGATTTTATGCCAGTAACTAATCTTAAAATCTCTATTACCCATACCAATAACTTGGTACAAAAGTGGCTAAGGAAAGATCATCAATATTGCCAAATTTGACAATACTCACGAGAGAATGTTCCCAATATAGGCGTAGTAGGAGCAACAGTAGGGAGTGGTCCCATCACAGCAGTAAGATCTGCAGTCTTTGCCACATTGAGCAAGGCAACTACCTACAAAATAAAATCCCATACATGCAGTTGGAGTTCTGAAATCACAGTTTCAGGAAAAATGTTCTATTTTATATCTTAATGGGTCACCAACTAACCTTTACTGCATTTAGATTTTCATGTGACATATTCATATAAATGTCTACACTAGCCTTTCTTCCCCATTGGATTCCACCTTTAATTCGTATGTTACCCTCCCTCCCCCTACCCCCCAAAAAAACACTACCATCGAGTCTGTTCCTACTCATAGCAACCTCCACTTCATTTTCAAAACTATAAATCCTTATGGAAGTAGTAGATTGCCTCATTTTCCTCCCATGGAGAAACTTCTGGGTTTGAATCGCCAAACTGGTCACCAGTCAAATGCCTTTCTCACTATGCCACCAGAGCTCCTAATGTATTTGGGATTCTTAAATTCATATGTTCAAGAATCACAAAATAAATAATTTCCAATCAATCCATGATAGTAGTGCCACCTATTATATAAACTATATATTTTTTTTTTCCTATCAAAGTCACAATGTAAAAGTGAAAAATGTTATATTTATGTCTACCAAATCCTCTGCCATCCAGTTGTTTCTGACTCATAGAGACCCTATAGGACAGAGTCGAACTGCCCCATAGGGTTTCCAAAGTTGTAAATCTTTATGTAAGCTGACTGCCTCATCTTTCTCCCACAGAGCAGGAGGTGGTTTCAAACTATCAGCCTTTTAGTTATCATTTAAAATGCTTTAAATCACTACACTACCAGAGGTCCTATTTATGTCTATATGTCAACATAATTGACTCATCTATAAAGAAAAATTTAGATTTTGTTTTTAAATCACTTCCCTGAAATGAAGATTCTACAGCAAGGGATATGATCAAAGGTAACAAATTTCATTTATCTTTGTCATAAAATGGCTTTTGCTATAAAAACGGCTTTGTGGAACAAGGGAGGCACAGTGGATAAGGCATTTGGCTTCTAACCAGAAAGTCAGTGGTTCAAACTCACCAGCCACTCGATGGAAGGATGATGGGGTGATCTGCTTCCACAAAGATTTACAACATCCAAAACACAATGTGGGTAGCTATCAGTTAGAACTGACTTGATGGCAGTGAGGGTTTTTTTTTTTTTTTTTGTGGAACAAGCAGGAAAGTTCACATTTTCTTATACTCAATTTTATTTTTACCGCATAGATCAACAAACCTGAAATTTGAGACTTTCCTCTACATTGTGGTAAGAAAAAATGAGAGGGAAAAATAATTACCTTTATAAGATTCAGTAACTATATTTAAAATTCACTTTGAAAATATGAAGACAGAAATGTGATCTAATTATTTAGAACCAAAGGAGAAGTTAATATATTTTTGCCTTGGCAATGAATGCTTTTTGTTAAGTCAAAGTTTTTAAAGCTATTTCTTTTATAGCTTTCCCAGTATTTTCTGTAGCACTGTATGTGTCTCTCTGTGTGTATTATACATTTATATATATATATATACATATATACATATACATATATATATATATACAAACAGTACAGTACCTGGGATAAGAATGTCCAACTTATGTCCAACTGGTAGTTATGAACCAACCCCCTAAAGCCTATCATATTAAAAATTAGAAGTAAATACAATGATTTGTAATAACAAACAGGCACTACTTTGCAACACACATCAAAACATTATTATTATTTTGACTGTATTATTAAGGTAAATATGTTTTGTTGTTGCTGTTGTTGTTATTTGTCATCGAGTCAGCCCGTTTTAGTGTATCTTGAAGGGTTTCTTTAAATTTTTTTTTTTATGTATAGAAAGGCACACTAAATACTATATACTAAAAGAAACATTTGACTGACATTAGTAAAGAGCTGTCCCTAATTCTGACTTATGTACAAATTTGACTTAAAGACAGACCTAGGAATAAAACTTGTTTGTAACCTAGGGACTGCTTGTATAGATACATATTTACATATACAAATATTATGTACCTTAGACACGGTTGTTGTTAGCTGCCATTGAGTTGGTACCCAACTCATGGTGACCCCATGCACAACAGAATGAAATGTTGACTAGTCCTACACCATTCCTATGATAGGCTGAAGAAGAAATCATTATGGTCCTTATGGCTTTCATTGGCTAGTTTTCATAAACAGAGCTCCAGGCCTCTCTTTCCATTTCACCCTAGTCTGGAAGTTCCTCTGAAACCTGTTCAGCATTGCAATATCACACAAGCCTCCTCTGACAGATGGGTGGCGGCTGCTCATGAAGTAATTCAAACCAGGGTCTCTTGCATGGAAGTCAAGAATTCTGTCACTGAACTACCTCTGCCCCCTAAACATTGTAGCTGTTGTTAGTTGCTATCTAGTCAATTCAGACTCATGATGGTCCCATATGTGCAGAGTAAAATTGCTTTCAGAAGCAGATTACTAGGCCTGTCTTCTGAAGCTTTGAACCACCAACATTTTGGCTAGCAGTTTAGTACTTAACTGTTTGCTCCAGGAATTCCAGACATGGTTATTGCTATTTAATATATTCAAATATTTTGACTGCTCAGTCATTTTAAAGACTCAGCAGAAATTTGTTGCTTCATGCTCTTAAAAAACATTCAGATAGTGGAGTTGATATTCCCACTTGCTCCGTCACAGCAGGACAACTAATGTGTAAGCAGCTTTATAGGTACCTTTTTAATGTTGCTCAGGACAGTGAGATCTCATTAAACTCACCATAGATATTCAAGATCATAAGGACATGGTGTTATCAAAATATTTTTGAGTCGTTACAGGAAACCAAACCCAAAATCCTGTAGCCAAGAAGCTAGATCATACTTTCAGCAAACATCTAGATCGTGCCACAAATTGTTCATTATTTTTATGATATTTTCCTGTGTTCTTGTCTACTTCCCAAAATTAAGACCTGAAAGGGCAGATTTAATAGTATGGGAAATATACTCACAATTACAACACTTCCAAGTGGAGGTTTCCACCACATTTCAAACTTTATTTTGATACACTAGTTGTTTTCTCCAGAGCATTTGAGATGAATTCTATGAAGATTAGAGTTTGAATTTTATAAGCAAATTTCCTCATTTTTGAAGGGATGGAATATTTCAATTGTCCCCAAAAGATAAATTCTATCACCTCTAATCTCCAAATTTGCATCTCTGAAAATCAGTCAATTTAAACGTTCTTCAATTACTTTAATCAAGGACATGAGTTGGAAGCCCAGCCCCCCACCCTAAGAAATGTGTTGTCCAGGAAAAGCAACATCTGGCTCTAAGCACTTTTTTCCTACTCAGAAATGGCTCTTGTAAGCTATAGTTGAGGATATAAGAGGAAGGAAAAGGAGGGGACAGAGTCACCAGCTAAAGCCCGGAAAGTAAAACCTTGACTGAATCCTGTCTTTGTGCAGTTGGAGTTGGACAATGATATAAACACTTCATTGGGTCTTTTTCCAAAAGAGATCTCACAGTAAAAAATGATGCTTCAGGTGTAGAAACTTTGCTCTTATTTGCTTAACCTTGATTTAATGCATTTAGTTTTGGGAAAATAATTCAGATTACAGACAGTGTATCTAAGGTTTTTGTCCCATTAAATCCAGCAATACATTTAATAAGGTGTGTGTATTACTGCATTTCTGTAGTATTGCTGTACTACAGAACCCCCATCCCCTCATTCCCAAACTGGCCCAGCCAAACTGAATTATCTACTCTTGTTTATACACATGATGATTTTTGCCTTTGCTCCCACTATATCTTATTCCATCTCCCTATGTCCAAGGCTTTCCAATATTTCAGACTTTTAGTTCCTTAAGCCCTGTTGAATTCAATTCTACTGAACAAATATTTATTGAGCTTCTATATGCCAGGCATTTCACTAGTTTCTGAGAGTATTACACTGAGCAAAACACACTTTATCCTCATAGAGCTTCCTTTGAACCCCTAGGACATGTGATTGTACTTATTCTATTATACAACCTTTATACATTAGAGTAATTTATAGGCACCTTTCATCTCCTCAACAGAAATCAAGTGTATGGCTTCTGTTTTATTGATCACCCAACATGCCTCATTCTATAAATATTAGTTGAATGACTATGGCAAGCATAGAAAGGTCTCTGGCATAAGAAATTCAGGAATTAACTACAAAGCACTTATTGGTTAAAACATCTATCAACCACAATAAGTCAATCTAGAATTGGCTTATTATTACTTTATAGCTTACTAGAGAGAGATGGGAGTCCCTGAGTGGTGCAAACACTTAAGCACTGGGCTATTAACTGAAAGGTAGGTGGTTTGAATCTACCCAGAAGCATTGCAGAAGAAACGGTTGGCAATCTACTTTCAAAAGATCATAATCATTAAAAATCCTGTGGAGCAGTTCTACTGTAAAATACGTGCGATCACCATGAGTTGGAATAAATGTAACAGCTACTGTTTTTTTGTTTTATTTTGTTTTAAGTAGGGATGCAGATAGAATGAAGAAATGAATGGAGTGGAAACTTTCTAATTAGTAATACTGCTGTTTGGCCAATTTTGCTGGTTTCCTGAGCTCTGGGGTATTGGGTACCTAGAAATGAGAGAGAAGAAATAAGGGAAGAAAAGTATTGCAAATTAGGGGCTTTCACTTCATCACAGGGAATAAGATGGACAAAAAGAACTAGAAACAATTGTGGTTCAGTGGAGTGGTTATATAAGAGAGAGTGAGGATATTAAAAAGAAATTATTTACTGTGTACTATTTTCTTATTGTTTGTTTCATTTTGAGAAGGAGAGGAGATAGAATTATTCAAATGAACTACCAAAAGGATTTTTATATAAAATTAATATTAATGCATTTGATCCCTTTAGTCTCCCAAATTCTATAAACTTTATACAAATTAAATGGAAGAAACCAGTGTTGTAAGCAGAGATTAGAACATGGATTCTCCCTGTCAAATAGTTGAAATTTTCCCAATTGTGTGACTTTTTGCATGAAGAAGTCAATATATTACTTACAAGATGGTATCTTTATAGGTAGCCATAAGTTTATATTTTAATAAACATACTGAAAAATTTGATATACATTATCTTGACTTATTTCTAGAAAAATTGAATCAGAAATTCAATTATTTTGATGCTCAGAGAACAATATTGAAGAATGTCTTCATTTTAACTACAGTATCTTTGTATCAAAAAGTAAATCTAAGTACCGTAAATCAATTTCATATTGCAAAGCTCTGGGTAAGCCTGTGGATTTTGTCGTGTCTCATAGTTAGAAACATGAAAATGTTTCAACCAAGAACTTTGTTTTGCCCTTAGCTTGCACTGTTTTGTGACTATGAAACAGATGCAAAAACCACATGTATACATGAATTTTATACATGAATAATCAATGAAAGGCCATTTGAGGATCCATATCAATCACAAAACGAGAAAATCCCTTTGCTTCATCAATTATTAGCAATTTTCACTAAGAATGATTGTTGTTGTTATGTGCCGTCAAGTCAGCCCTGACTCATTGCGACCCCTCCTTGGGTTTCCGAGGCAGTATCACTAC